GATAGACTTCTCTCTGTTTCTACTCTGTTTTTGTTATGCAATATTTAGAGCTTCTTCCTTTCAAAGAAAAAAAAAAAGGGGGAAAAGAAACAGCATTCAACATTATGTTTTACAGGGTCTGTGGGGTGGGATGCTTGCTGGAGTGGCAATGCAAACCATTGTTCTTTCTTTACTTGTATGGAAGACCAATTGGGATAACCAGGTAAGCACGGTGAATATGACATTAATTTGGGTAAGCCAAATTCTAGAGAAGGATCGAACTAAATTTATTTAAAAGTGAGTAATTTAAAAAAAGTGACTTAATTTTAGGGTTGAAGATACAAAATTTAGACATGATTGGCGGCAATTGAAAAAATGTACGAGTTTCTATCTCATAAGTAGAAGTCCAAAGATCTAAAATAACTATGTATTGTGCTTATTTGAAACATCATTTTTGATGAAAAATACTTATTTGGAATATTTGTTTATCTTTAATGGTAGATGGAACCTACTTTATTTAAAATAATTTCTTTGATATTACAGATAAGGAAGGCATCCCAACGTTTAAATAAGTAGCTTTTGAATTCGAAAGAGGAAAGTAATGAGAGCCCATCTCATGCTTAAAGATAAACATGAGCGTAATTTTTGTAAGATTTTAACTTTCATTTTTGAAACTCAATTCAATTTTTAGGAAATTTTTTAGCATAATTTTCAGTTGAAAACTAGGCAGGCTTATTTGACTTGAAAAATTTTTTGGGGATTTAATTTTCATAATTGCATAATTACTGTTCAGCTAATTTTGTAATTTCATTAATTTCAGTGCTAAGGGCAGCCGCCCTTCATCATCTGACTACGAGAGGTCTTCCATACAATGGAGAGCCATCCTTCCAAAGGCAATGCAAGTGGACGCATAAACAAATGGTTTGTAACTAATTAATCGAGAGAAACAAGTGGATAGCTTTTTGCATTCAAGATAAAGTTGAAACATATACATTGGACTTGTTCTAACTCCCTTTTCCCCATTTAAAAAAAAAAAGGATTTCTTCATTTTTTTTTTATTTTGGATTTGACAATGAGGCACAATCTTTTTTCATTTTTTAACATCCCATACTTACATGTTATACAACTTAAATTTATTAAAATTTTTTATTTTTACTAAAATAAAATTACTATTAATTTACTTAAATTATTAGCCAAGCATTCTCTTATTCAAGTTTCTTATTGCTGTATATGGATATCATACCTGAACTAATTTCACGCATCCAAAATTTTTTGTAAATGTCTGAGAATTTTTTTTCTTTGCAAAAGCTAGAAGATATATTGATATAAATAAAGGAAATTACATTAAGTGTAGACTAGACTCAAAGGAAGCCTCACAGTTCCGTGCCTAAAGAGTCAAAATACGAGAGCATCAATCAAAAATCTCAACCAGAAACTAAAACAAGAAAGCTTCAGCTTTGAAACCCAGAGAAAGACATCTAAAATATCTCGCAATTAATCCCAAATTAATTGAAATTAATGGACACTAGATGCAAAGGAGCCCTCACTACTGTCGCATGCCTTTAACAATCAAAATCAGAGGGCATCAATCAATGCAATAATATCAACCATAAATAAACAAAGAGAACGAACGACATCTAAAATATACATCTTGCAATTAGTCCCAAACTAAACATCAAAGATAACATTGCCAGAATAATTAATTAAGGAATATGTCATTGTTGCCAGGCCTCTGATAATTTTTTCATTCCTATTATAAGGTTGTCATTTTTGGATATAGATTCATTTATAATTGGACCTTTCTTTCCTAGGAATTTAGATGAAATCATCAAACTCTTAAAATGAGAAAAAATAATCAATTATTTAACGCAACACATCATAAGTTTGATAAATAAGTTTGTTATACCACATTAGAGCTATTTCATGTCGCACTAAAGGTTTGATCATAAGTTTTTTCTAATTAAGTTTACTGGTCAAGAAACTAATTTGCATATATATCAACATTAATTTTTTTAATCTAATTAGAAGTAGGTCATTTAAATTAAAATTAAAAAAATTAAAAAAAATAACTTTTTTATTAATCTCTCAAAAAATAAAATCCTAAGTAATAAAGTAAGAATGCTAAATTGTCTTTAAATGTGTAAAAATATCATTTTTTAATAAGTTAAAGATATCATTTGAAAACCTTTGACGTAATATATTGAAGATTTTTTCAATGTATTATTATTTTCTGCTAAGGAAGAATATTCTCTTGTGAATTTTTTTATAAGATAGAATAATTAGTTGAAATTTTTATAAACAAGAGAAATAAAAAGGGAGAATGAGAATTTAAATTTTAATATATAGATGAAAAAGCATTTTCTATTAATAATTTAATAAATTACTTTACAAACGTTGCTCAATCTCGTGAATTTCTTTGTATCAAGATAATTGTAGTTTTTGTTCCTCAAGTGCAAGATAACTGCTCTAATGTGGCATAAGGGCTATAATTTGTGGGGAATAGAAACTGTTAGTACAAAAAAGTTTGTTGGGATACTTTTATTCATCATGCAGGGCTATGAGTTTCTAGAAACATGAGTAGTGTAATACCCCAAAATTTCCTAGAGTATATAAGTGGAGTTAGGGACTTAATAGTGAGAAAACATTATTAATGGACCTAATTGCCAATTTTTCAAACTTCAAAGGGGTTAAATTCTTATTGGATAAGGCCGGCTGACTCATTTCCTTTTTTTTTTCTTTTCTTTTTCTTTCTTTCTTCCCCCAGCCATTTCGCGTCTGCTCTGTTTTTCTCCCTGCTGCAGCCGAAGTGAACCCAGCCATTTTCCAGCGTCCCCATCTGCAAATTGGTAAGAGAACTTGATGATTTTTGTTCCCCTCTTACCCAAGAACAAGTCTAGGACTTTGAACTTCTCCCTTTTGCAGAAAAGCCGCCAGATCTGCTCTGCTTCTTCCCCCTCTGCCGCCGGCTGCTACTGGTTTTTCCTGGTAAAATCAGTCCAGAAACTCCTCTTTTTCAGCCTTGATTTAAGTTGGGTCACTCAAATCGTCTTGTTCTTCCAATTTCTAGTGGTCCCGTGGAAGCCCCCTGCAATTCTTCCCGTCGGCACCTCTTCATCCCGCCAGCTCCAGCTTGCTTGTTGAGCATTTTTGGTAAGTTGGCTTCTCTAATCCTTGAAAATTGGTGGATTAATTGTTGCTTGTGAGCTTTAATTAGTGGTGTGGGTATTGGGTTGTCAAGGACCAAGATGCCGAAGGTGGGGGATGAGTTTTGGGGAATTTGAAAATGAGTTTTGGTTGATGAATTGTGTAGGAAATTAGGGGGTTTTGGCTGTTGTGAGTGTGTGTCCATGAGGAAAGGGGAGAACCCGTGAGTTAGCCATTTTTGTCAAGGCCGGTTCTCCCATTGCTTGTCCATAGATTTGAGAAAAATGGTATATGGGTAATTATATAATTGTAGATATATAGATAAATACCCAATCCCGGTTAATGCTTGATTTTCACATAGAAAGTAAAAAATGAAAATAAATAAAGGAATAAAATTTCTTTATAGATATTAACTCGAGAATATTGTGATTAGGTCCTTGATTGCCTTGTGATCCTAGTGCTGGGATTAGGCCTCCTGCCCTGAGTAATTAAGGTAAGTAAATTATGGTAAAACCCGTAAATTTTTGAAGCATATTTTAATTGTTTTTCTGAGATGGTGGCGAGGCTTAAATGGATTTTAATTGCATTTGAGCATGATTAAAAAGGGAAATTAAACTTTTATCATTTTCCTTATTTTCTAGAATTAAGCA